CCTGGGTTCCACCGAACCCAGCACGCCTGGGTTCCATCGAAGCCAGGCATGTTGGGTTCGCTGCTGGGTTCGGTGGAACCCAGGCATGCTGGGTTCTTGGGTTTTGTTGTTTGATGCTATGAGAAATTGATTGATGAAGATGAAGAAGGCAAGGCAGTCGTTGGGTTTTTGCAGGTGGATGAAGATGAAGAAGGCATAGCTGTTGGGTTCGATTTCGAACCCAGCAAGCAATCGAACCTAGCATCAAACCCAGCAGCCGCTGGGTTCCTGCAGTGCTGGGTTCGATTTCGAACCCAGCAGGCACTATGTTCAAGCTGGGTTCCTGCAGGTGCTGGGTTTGATTTTGAACCCAACAGGCATTGGGTTCCGTTTCTAACCCATGGATCTGTTGAGTTTCATTTGTTTATTGATCTGTTCAGTTCCATTTGTTTCAAACTCAGCAGTCGTTAGGTCGATGGATCTGTTGAGTTCGATCTATTTATGGATTTGTTATCTGTTGTGTTATTCTCATATTCTTGCAGGTGCTGGATTCGATTTCAAACCTAGCAAGCGTTGGGTTTTGTTTCCAACCCAACTGCAATTGGACCGAAAGATCTATTGATTTCTATCTGTTGGTTTGTTATGTTATTCTCGGATTTAATAATAGGAAATGTTAGGGTTTGCAGAAGGTGAAAGGAAAGGGAGAGGAAGAAGAAAGGGAAAAAGGAAAAACAAAGAAAGAAAAAAAAAGTAATTTTTTAAAGTAATTTCTTCCCATCTCATTTTTTTGCCACGTTGTACATCTTAGGTGTCAAAATGTTTTAACATGTCATCCTTTTCCCCGTCAAGTAACAAGACACGTAAGGGGATATTTAACGGAAGGACCAAATCGGGGTAAAAATGGTAAACAGTAGGGACCAAATCAGGGATTTTTTTAGTTTAGGGACCAAATCGGGGGTCCGTACAATAGTTCAGGGACCAAAAAGGAGTTTTAACCTAACAATTACTATTATATATTTCATTTTTACCCCAATTTGTCTCTCCCGAATGCCTATATTAAATGGTTTTAAGTCATCAAAACATTAAACATATGACTAATTGGCATTATTCTCTTAGTACTTTCATTTACCTATACTTCACCTTTCCTTAATTTTTCTTAAAACGTTATCTCTTAATTTACTCTCACATATTTTATCAGTATATTTGTCTGTCTACTTATATTCATCCTCATTTTCTCTCTCTGTAGTAATAATTTATTTATTATTATTCTTTCTTCTATCTTATCCTACAACTACATTATTCTTTTTAGTCACTCCTTGCATTGTCATCAATCATTACATTTCTTTTTTGATTCTAGTTCACTCCCTCTCCCTTTATCTATATTAAACATATTCTAAGTCAAAACATAAAATGCACAACTTTTTAGCATATGATTCTATTGGTAATTTTTTACTTACCTACCATTACTCAACCTCCATTATTTTCTCTTGAAATATCATCTCTCAATTTACCCTCTCACATTTTCTAACAATGTTTATCACTCTAGACTATATCTACTTTCACTCTCATTCTATGATAATAATTTGTTTGATATTATTCCTTTTCTCCTTATCATCTCATCTCTATTATTCCTCCTTAGTCACCCTCACCTCTTCATCCATTATTATATATTTTTGTATCCAAGTTTTTTCTTTTTATCTATCATTAGATATTTTTTGTTTTCTCAGTATTATAATATTGTATAAATATCTTAAAATTAAAAATAATTCAGTAACATATGCATTAAATTTATATACTTATCTATAAAATTATAAGTTTTAATTAATATAAGGTAAAGAGCCTAGATTTTTTTCCTCATTTTCCCTCTTTATATTAATAATTTATTTATTACCATTCTTTCATTCTCATTTCATCTCTATTATTGTTTCATAATCATTGCCTTAAATCTTTATCTATCAAAATATCTATTTTTTAACACATTTTTTCCGTTTTGTACTTTCCACTTACCTATATCTCACCTTTCATTAATTTTTCTTAAGATTCCAGCTCTTAGCTTATTCTATTACATTTTATCATTATATTTATCTATCTAGTCTATATTGGACCTTGTTTTCTCTTTATATATTAATAATTTGTTTGTTATTAATCTTTCTTCCCTTATCCTTATTCCCTCAATATTATTTTCTCTTAGTCACACTTTGCATCTCTATTTATTATTATATACCATTTTTACCTCAATATATATATATATATATATCTCCCTCTCTCTCCCTTGTTGTGTGTAATTGTTTAACTTTTTACCTTAATGAATCTATTGAAAGCTTGTAAAGGCTCTTACTTGACCATTTTCATAATTTTTTTTATAGTTTAGATTTTTTATTAAAAGAATGTCAAAACATTTTAAAGTTCTTTGTATAGGCTCTCACTGTTTGTTTTTCGGTTCTTTGTGGGTGCTCTTCTTGCTTCACTTAGATGGTTCTTTTAGAAATTATTTTGTACTTTTCAAATTAGTCTTTCAAGTTGATAAAGTCATCATCAAGTTAATACATACCGCTGATACATACTATAATTTGTAACTATGCATAATTCTTGATATTTTAATAATCATTATTAAGAAATAAGTTTATTTATAATTATTTATAGCTTAATCACTGTTACCTTATTAGTCCCAGAATAATGGAGTAAATAACAAAAATTTGCAAAGTATCATTTTGAATATAATATAATATATATTTACCTTAAACATATTATATAATCAAAGTATAAGTCAAATTATAGATTTGGATAAATTGTTTTCATCTATAATAATATTTAGATGTAGAAGTTAGATTATTATATGGGAATCGAAGTGGAATTTGAGAACAATTAGTAAGAAGTTGATATAATTAGAGTATTATTAAGTGTTATTATATGGAGAATTAATTTATTAAGGAATTTATGTATTGTGCTCATCCAAAAATTTGAAAGGGTATTAATATATTTATGCTAAGTTTAGTATGGTTGTGATTTTTACTTTTTGGTTTTAGTTTTTATAAAGTTTGAAACTCTAAACAAAAAATTTGTTTACTTTCATGTGTTTTCACAATATATCATCTTGATTATTAAAGAAACAAAAACAAATATAGATTTAGTATTATTAAAAAAGTTTGTATTTTTTGGTTGTTAGTAGTAGAACTCGTTTTAAACAAATTTTTAGTTTTGGTTTTCATTAATTACAAAATTTATGAAAACCAAAGTTAAAAACTATAACCATATTAAACGAAATCTTAATTTAATCAAGTTTCAACTTCCTCAATAAATTTTCTTTAATATGTCCACTAGTTATTTATTTTAAATTTTAAAAGACTCATTACGTATTTGTTCAAGATTTATAAAATATTTTAATAATTTTTATAATATAATAAAATAAAATAAACAATAATGTTTATAGAGTGAGGTAATATATAATATAAAGAAATAATAATTAATTTAAAATCCCTTATAAATTATAATTAATTTCAAAATCCTTACAATCAATTAATTGGCGCCTGTGTGATATTCCTTCTTTCTACCGTGAGCTCAATCATTACAAGATTTCATCATTTTCTCCCTTTTTTCCTTTTATAATATATATATATGATCTATAATCATATGATTTGATCCTCTTTAGGGGTGTGGTAGAACAGAGTGTCTCATGTGGGAAGAAGGTACAAGGAGGAGGACTCAAATCACTAGTCACATTTTTCCTGCTTGTAATTTTGTACGCCTTGAAATTGTGGTGCACATACTACGTTAAGCGCAGAATTAAAGTCGCTATACATGTTGAAGATAATTAAGGAACACTTAACAATCTGTTTATTAACCGGCCCTACCCTTGGTCGTTAAAAAAAAAAAAAAAAAAGGAAGTTTTGCTAACTTTAACCTCAATTGTCTTTTTTTTTTTCTAAGTTATTTTGAAGTTAATTTTTGTACATATTGAAACTAATCCCTTTGAGATTCCTCCCCTCCGCTCCTTTTATACTTCATTTCTCTTGAACCGAACAGAGAATTAGGCTTTAGAGAAATTAAAACAAAGTGCATCTATCATTTTAGGTTAATTGGCTAATAGCTTTTTGATTAAACAATCTAGGAACCTCAAGAATTAGATCTACTTACATACCCTTGTGTACTGATGTAGTTCTTCTGTGAGGAACTGTCAATATAAAGTCGTTGAGATTGCAAAAAATTAAGGCATTCTGATAATTAAAATACTAAGGCATTTTATGAAATTATTTAAACACCAAGATATCTCAATTTTCAGTTTTCTCAAGATAGTTTGTAGTGTTACAAACAATGGTAGAACTAGAAATAGATCAAGGGTAAGAATTGTGTCTATTCTCTGAAAATAGACACAATTCTTACCCTTGTAAAGACCCTATCCCTTGAATCTCTTGTAAAGAGATTCAAGGTATAGGGTCTTTAACATTTTTCTTTTCCTAAAATCTTGGTATGAATCTCTTGATTTTTTTAATTTTTAAGTCATGATAGGACCTATGCTCAACCATCAACGTGGTTACTGGTTACAGGTGTTGTGATTTGCGAGGTGGATGTGTGGGGGGCCAGCGGTTTGAATGCAATAGTTAAAAGGCTGATGCTTTTGCTTTAAGGGAGAATCTACCATTTGGTGGATGAGGATAGGGATACCTTGACGACGACCATGAATTGACATTAGTTGTCTAATGATTCTGAGTGCTTATGCTTTATTGGAAATATCTTCATGTGTATAGAATCCTCAACATTGAAGCTATGCACTATGTCTCAAATTTAAAGAATCTGGATGGACCTTATTCCTAATGTGGGGTTGGATTTTTAGATCTATTATCTTAATAGGAGATGATTGTTTTTTATTATATAATTAAAATAAAAAAATAAAAAAAAATATAATGTAAGAATTTAATAGATAATTACATTAAAAAATATGATATTAACTATTTAAAATATAACAATAACCTCACCTACTTAAACAGTTGCATAAACAATAACCTTAATTATTATTGTGTGGTCAAGGACGGGGATGGCATGAGGCCGAAGGGCCACGACCCTCAAAAATTTTCAAAATCTCTGTTCATTGTTGGGTTTTTTTGTCATTTGGTCCCTCAAAATTTTATCTTTCAAAACTTATATGCCCTTGAAAATTTTTTTGGCCCCCTAAAATTTTACTCAAGATGCGTCCCTATCTGTGGTGCTGTTCAATCCTTTTAGTGCTTGTTTGGTTTATGCCTTTATATATGATAGCGGCTGTTTCTTGGTCAAATCATAAAAATATGTTAAAAGTAAGAAATTTTCATGAAAAATTAGGAATAGTTAAGTTTTAATATTTTTTTTACATTAAAAAAGAATCATGGAATACCTATTTCATAAAAAAAAAAAAAAAAAAAGGCCAAAGGGAAGTAAAACATATTCTTCGTTTATCCCTTAGTTTGGTGAAAAATTTTCAATAGTAAAGCTTAATTATCCCAAATTTCTTAAGAGAGTTTCTTAAATTTAATTTATTTTCATAGTGTGATTAAGGAATAACCATTAACAACAACCTCACATAACCTATGGGTGATTGTTTTGATATCTAGTGACCATTACCTATTGTTTTTATGTGTTTTATTCAGGGCAAGTGATATAATTATTATTGTTGTAGGTTTGCTCATTGTAGTATTTTGTAGAGCA